CCTTAAAAAGGTTGATTTACTAAGAGAATCTTTATGCACAACATGCAACAAACTAAAAAATGCATAGAATGATTATCAGATTTGGCTAATTTACTGTAAAATTGAAGGGCATCAGATTTATGAAAAAAAGACAGGGATCTTTTAGTCTTCAATTTTTTTTTACCCTTACCATACTCTGCATCTCCAGCATCCAACATTTTACTCAAAAGTATTTCAGACTATTTGCCCCCCCCCCCTCCTTGCTCATTAACATCACTAGTATATGGTTAAATGAACTATACTAAGACATGCTTGATCTCCTCATGGTCTCTTTACACATTAACCGTACATGGTTAAGTGAATGACAGTGTAACATGCTTGATCTCCTCGTGGTCTCTTTACACATGAACCATACATGGTGAAGTGAATGACAGTGTAGCATGCTTGATCTCCTCATGGTCTCTTTACACACGAACCATACATGGTTAAGTGAATGACAGTGTAGCATGCTTGATCTCCTCGTGGTCTCTTTACACACGAACCATACATGGTTAAGTGAGTGACAGTGTAGCATGCTTGATCTCCTCGTGGTCTCTTTACACATGAACCATACATGGTTAAGTGAATGACAGTGTAGCATGCTTGATCTCCTCGTGGTCTCTTTACACATGAACCATACATGGTTAAATGAATGATTTTTAACAATATTTTTATTATAGAAAACTTTAACTAAAAGATATATAGCTTACAAGTTTTTTGTTTTGAATTCTGTCTTTTCCCTCATATTGTGTTGTGAAACTCTTTGAAAGTTCTGTTATGCTTAATATTTATTATTTTAATAAATTTTGTATTTAACAGTCAGTGTGTTTCTTATTGCAATTATCAGTTTTACATCCTTTATCATCAGTGTTTTTGAACTTCTGATTTTACTAATTTTAAAGAATAGATGCACAAGTTAGTGCCTGTTTGTAACTAAAAAAAAACCTAGGTTTATTTTAAACTCTATTTTACATTTCAGAATCTTTATATATATGTTTATGAAATTACTTTCTTGTTGTAACTCAACTGACTTCTGTTAATATCAGTAAGATACTTTTCTATACCATGATATATTATTTTAAGTGTGAGAAGTTTTGAAAATGTTTGTTTTATGACCAAAATAATCCTGTTACATTTTTAAAACCATGTTTTTATGTTTCTTCCCCTTTATTTCATAAATGTATGAACAGAAGCATGCATAGAGAAAATGAAAATAAAAAGAAGTATGAAAGCATAAGCTCTAATATAATTTGTTAACATTGTTTTTTTACTGTATTTCAGCAATATGTACGTGGAATTTGTATCAAAAATTTCAAAGTATTTTTCTTTTTTGAATTTTTAAAAAGTAGTTTCAGAAATTTTCTTAACTATGTTCTAACCATTCAATTGAGAAATAAAAGTGAAAAAAAAATACAAAATGGGCTGATATGGATCTATTCTTTTGCAGGGTTTAATTATCAGTAATGACAAAACTTGCCAAGCTCTTGAGAAACAAGAACTGAAACTTCTACAAACATCCAGACATGAGAATTACAAAAGCTTACTTGGTTGGACAAAACATTTTATGGATGTGGACCAAGTAATTATGTACAATCCTGTTTTATTATGTTGCATCTGTGTAAATTAATATTGGAAAAAATAAAGCATATAACTTGTGACAGCTCCTCTATTCTGTTATTTATTGTGTTTGTTCATTATAGTTGGTCATTTTGGATTAGATATTATCAAATTATATTCTGAATAATGCCTACAAAATGAGTTATTGTATTTCTCACGGAAAGAAAATTGTTTTTATACATTTCAATATCATTACCTCAAATTTTTTGTAAGGTAATGTATGTCAAATAGTTCCCCTCAAGATTTTGTTTAATGTGATGTGTGTCAAATAGTTCCCCCTCAAGATTTTGTTTAATGTAATGTGTCAAATAGTTCCCCCTCAAGATTTTGTTTAATGTAATGTGTGTCAAATAGTTCCCCCTCAAGATTTTGTTTAATGTAATGTGTGTGTCAAATAGTTCCTCCTCAAGATTTTGTTTAATGTAATGTGTGTCAAATTGTTCCCCTCAAGATTTTGTTTAATGTAATGTGTGTCAAATTGTTCCCCTCAAGATTTTGTTTAATGTAATGTGTGTCAAATTGTTCCCCTCAATATTTTGTTTAATGTAATGTGTGTCAAATAGTTCCCCCTCAAGATTTTATTTTATGTAATGTGTGTCAAATAGTTCCGATTGGTTTGTAGTGTACAGAAAAATAATGGTATGCCCAGTATCAATTATTTCACATTAAATTTGTAAAAAAAATACTAAAACAGTTTTGATAAGCTGCTTTGCCATGTATGTATTCATACTGCTAAATTTTAAATACATAACAAATGTGACATATCTTTCTTAAATGTTCGTTAATCATGTGACAAAGTATAAAGGTAATGTTTTTTTGACAATCACATTAATGTCATATTCATAAAAAATATATTAAACAGTTATAACTGTATTTGCAGTTGAATTAATTGTATTATATAAATCACAGCTTCACTTGTAGTTGTTTGTAGTGCAATTCTTAAGGGTCTTGGGTAGCTGCATAGTAACATGTAATTTAATAAAGATTAGAACTAGCCCTGAATAATGGAAAACATGCAAGTCTTTTTGTTTTTTAGACAAGAATGCCTTACATTTGTAATTAATGCAACTTACTGCAGATTTTGTACAAGAAGTTAAATATATATTTTTTTAGCTATATATGAATTCAAATTTGGTGCATTTATTGAACTAAACAAGAGGGAATCCTCAATAGCCACAGCACTTGGAATCTTTTTAGGCAGGGTTAGAGTAAATTAATCTATGAGACTTTTTTTGTCCTTTTTATTAGTAACGTTTTTGTGTGTCACCAATACCAAGCTCACGTATACCCAATTCAATTTTATTACTCATCAGAATCTCTACCAGACTACCATCAAATTGAAATTCTTTTTAGAGGCACGATTAGAGTAAATTAATATATGTGACCATGGGTGTGGTCAAATACATCAATCGAAGGGGTTTGATCTCCCGAGTTCAAAACCATAATTAGATCTCAAATCAGTCAAGATATGATGAAGCTATGAGCTAAAAGTTTGTTTTTGAAAAATGGAAGAAAAAAAAATTTGTAGTCGTCCTATGGGCCTCTATGCGGCAGTTAGAAATATACACGAAGAGCATCTTACAGGGATAAGAGATTTTTAACTTGTTTAATTATTTTCAAACCGAAATAATATGTATAATGTAGTGTAAAACAATGAATATCCCATTTATTTTCTTACATAATTATGTAAAAAGCTTCATCAATGTCTAACAAGATTATAACTATTTTCTGAAAAAAGCTGTAACTCAATCAAAGAAAAACGAATTGTGTTGTCAGATTTAATTGGATTCATTAATAAGATAAATGTGGAGACTGGCCCAGTGGATAGAGTGTTGGACTGTGGATCTGAGGTTCCATAACTTTAATCCTGTTACTGGGGGGGAACATGCTCTGCATTTGGGGGCCAAGGATGCATTATAAGAGTGACTTTAAAATTTCCACTACTGAGTCTAGCAACAGTAGTCCAAGAGTTGGTGGTGACTAGCTGCCTTTCTTCTAGTCTATCGCTTCAAAATTATGGACAGCTAGTGTAAATAACCTTAAAGTAGCTTTGCATGAAATTCAACAAAACAAATAATGTAACTGAAAAATATAAGTATATGCAGGTTAAGCAGTTAATATGCCTTGTTAGTTTAGAATTTTTAGAGGAACTTATCAAATTGAAATGGCTTTTCTTTGTAATAGCTTGTCAAATAGTGTACTTGATTTTTTTAAATCAAATTATGATAATTGTTGTACTTCATAACTTCTCTGTTGTAATGACTAATTATAACTTTTTCCAAAGTTTCATTCTATAGTAAGACTAATTATCTACATTGTCTTTCACTGCATTCCAAAAACATTACACATGCTAACAGTGAACTTACGAACCACGAGGTATATTTTTTTCAGAAAGAACATCCTGCTTTGGACTAAAGATGTTGAAAAACGTTTTCATTTTGAGTTATAATTTGTGTGAATGAGTAGACAAAAATATCAAGAGATAACTGATTCTGGTTATATCTATTGTAATATATTAAAATTGTAATAATGCAACATGTGTTTAAGCTTGAGATTATTAATACATTCTTGATAGAATTGACATGGTAAATAGACATCTATTCCAGAAGAAATTATTGAAATTTGCTCAGTTGGTAAAATTTTATAATATGAGAGTATAATTGGTGTAGGGGCACTAATCAGTTTTCATAATTTGCCAGTATAAGATTTTTCTTGTTTCACCGTTGGTTAAGTTTCTTAACTTCAAGTTCACTCTGTTTGTGAGATGCATGAAAAAAAAAATTGTATGATGTATGATACGAAAAAATTGGAAGTGTTGTCATACAAAAGAACCAGAACAACTGAATAGCGAATCTTAAAACTCATAAAATGTATTTTAATAAAAACTCTAAATTTATGCTAGAACTTTACAAAGAATTATTTTTGGTTGGTGCCCATTTTTATATTAATAACTATTAAAAAAATAGTTTCAATAAAAATAAAATGGCCTTGGCACAGTTATGAAGACTAAAATATCTTGGGGGGGTGACTTATAAACACAAAAGGCATCAAATAAGGTTTTATTAATTCTATATATTTTATGTGAAAGTTCACTTACAAAATAAGAATTGGAGGATCCAAGGTAAACGATGAAAAGAACAATATTAATGTTCAATCAGTTTGTTTGTTCGAAGTTAAGCACAAAGCTGCATGGCCAGGTGGTTAGGGTGCTTGACTCTTAATCTGAGGGTCGCACGTCCCACCAAACATGTTCGCCCTTTCAGCCGTGGGGACATTATAATCCCACTTTTCGTTGGTAAAATAGTCGGTAGTGGGTGGTGATGACTAGCTGCCTTCCCTCTAATCTTTCACTGCTAAATTAGGGACAGATAGCCCTCATGTAGCTTTGCGCAAAAGCAAACAAAGCTACACATTGGGCTATTTGTGCTCAGACAGCGCTGTGCCATTGGGAGGATTCCAATCAGAGCAAGCTATCTGCTTCAAACCAAAATTTCAACCTGGTATTGGTAATGACTATAGCTAATTAAATAAAGAAATATGAAGGAAGTTTCAGAAATAGAGAATCATAAAATTAACAAATTCAGCATTGACTTTACTTTGTCTCATAACATCATG